ACACACACACAGAGAGAGAGAGACAGAGAGAGAGAGAGAGAGAGAGAGAGAGAGAGAGAGAGAGAGAGAGAGAGAGAGAGAGAGAGGAGAGTCTTGAAGGAACTTGCTGTAGGGTCTGTGGCCATCCCCCTTCCCCCTTGCCTCAAGAGAGCTGGGGCTGGGTGTGTGTGCACACCTTTAATCACAGCACAGAGGCAGGCAGATCTCTATTGAGTTTGAGGCCAGCCTGGTCTACATAGTGAGCTCCAGGCTGGCCAGAGCTACACAGACAGACCCTGTCTAGAACAAAGAAACAACAAACAAGCAAGCAAGCCATTGGGTTGCAGGAGGAGGCAGAGTCTGTAGTGGTCGTGGGCAGACAGGGGATGGGAAACCCAGGCCAGTGTCATCTTTACCCCCTGCCGAAGAGCCGTGAAGGGAAATCCAAGGTGTGGTTCTGTTTCTTGCCAGGCGTATGTAAGCACCCAGGGATTGATGAGTGGCCATCCGTGGCTGTGTCTGAGGAGGGGCGGGATGACCAGCCATCAGAAACATTATTAGGAGGGATTTCCACTCTGGGTAGATACTGTACTAGATTAACGACTTCAATAACCACACATTAGACACCTCCCGTGTGCTGGGTCCCAGGGCTGTGGGGCTGTGGAGATGAAAGTCAGTCCTGAGGTAAAGTAGGTCAGCTGGAGGCGAGGAGGCTCAAGAGGTGGACTCTGCTCTGGAGGCATCGGGCAGGAGGTGGAATGCAGCGTTGCCGTGCGGGACGCAGCAGGTGCTTGGAAGCGTTTGTTGAATAAATGAATTTAATTATTTTATGGTTCACTTGCTTATGTCTGCCAGTGACTCATGCTGCGTGCGTCCTTCCCTTTTGCAAAACCCTGCATACAGGCTCAGATACACACACACACACAGAGATACACAGACACAGACACAGACACAGATACACACACACACAGAGATACACACACACACAGACACACACAGACACACACAGAGACACAGACACACACACAGATACACACACAGATACACACACACAGAGACATACACACACAGATACACACACAGACACAGATACACACACAGATACACACACACACAGACACACACAGAGACACAGACACACACACAGATACACACACACAGACACACACACAGATACACACACAGATACACACACACACAGAGACATACACACACAGATACACACACAGACACAGATACACACACAGACACAGATACACTCACACTCACACACAGATACACACTTACACACACAGACACAGATACACACACAGACACAGATACACACACACAGACACAGATACACACACATACAGACATATAGACATGCACACACACATTTACAAATGCACACATAGGCATATACACATGTGCATGCACACACAAACAGGCATACAGACATGCACACAGACAGACACACACACACACATTCACAAATGCACCCTCAGGCATACATGCACATGTACATGCACACACAAACAGGCATACAGACATGCACACAGACAGACAGACAGACAGACAGACACACACACACACACACACACACACAAGCTGTTGATCGCCCAGTACAATGCCGGGCACCTGAAGTGCTGAGTAAGCAGCTGTGGCCCACACGCCGGCCGGCATGGCTGTCAGACAGATAACTGGCAGCTAGAGGAAAACTGTCTTGCTCACTTTACTGTCTGCCCCTCCCTGCGGTGGTGGCGGGAGCGCTGTGTGGCCTCTGGAACACGGGTTTAGATTCAGCTCCTAATGACTCACTTTGTGGATTATCCACGGCCTGTTTCACTTATGACATCTCTCTTTCCACAGGCAAAGCGTCTGGGACACATTTAGCAAAGACTGGGCACACGTGGCCATTTTAACAGGGGTTTGTGACTCTCGTAGCGCTTGGGGAAGCCTTGGGAGGCTTTTCACGAGAAGAGGGGTGGAAGCTTCCAAGGGAAGCATGAGGTGGGGGTGGGGTGCTTCTGTGTCTAGAAACTCCTTGGGGCATGAGAAGGATCAGCTCTTGCCCCAGCAGTCCCTATTCTTGGAAGGGAAAGTCGTTGTTGCAGGTCCCATGTGCAGCCACTAGGTGTCAGTGTTTCTTAACACTTGGCACTGGGGATGGACTCAGGCAACGGAGTCCTAGCTGATGTTATGTGGGGTGAGTGTGCCTATTTTATAGGTGGAAACTGAAGCCTAGGTAAGGGTTTCCCTACGTGTTTTGCAGCGAGTCGTCTGAAAGCCCCTGAAATTCAGAATCACATTCAGTTCCTCGATTCAGTCCAGCTGCAGACTGTGTGTGTGTGTGTGTGTGTGTGTGTGTGTGTGTGTGTGAGAGAGAGAGAGAGAGAGAGATCGTGCTGGGGGACCAGGCATGGAGGAGAGGCAAGCTGGAGCTTGAAGAGAGGAGGTGAGAGAGAAGACCTGAGGGGCAGTAGCTGGGAAGACTGCCCTTTGCTTCCTAACTTCCTCATCTCTCTGCTTTGGGTTGGTTTTGAGATGGAGAGATGGATGGATGGATGGATGGATGGATGGAGAGGGGAAAGGGAGGGAGGGAGGAAAGGAGGGGTGGAGAGAGAGGAGGGGAGTTGAAGGGAAAGAAAGAAAATGTCAGATGAGAAGGGAAGAGGAGAGGAGAAAGCAGCCAATCTGGGGAGAGCCCTCCTCCCTCTGAATTGAAGTATGGGCCACACCAGGGACCCTGGAACTTACTTCCAGGCTCTCTGTGCCCTGGGCTTCACTCCTGGTAGATATGTCCCAGAGGCTTCCGGAAAATGTGCCAAGTGGAGATCGTAGAGGTGGAGGCTCCCCAGAACACCCAGAGGGTGAAGAACTGGATGACCCCGCCCCGTACTTTCCTCCAGCTCTGGGGGTGAGGCAGAGCTAGGGGTCTTCAAATGTCATTCAGGAAGTGGCTCGTGAGACCCCGGGGCAGTCCTAGAGATGTCTCCACTCAGGGTGGTGACAGCTACTCGCCTCCACTGGAGTGCGGCGGTGGTGGATCACAAGCTCAGGCGTTTGCACAGAGATAAGAGAGGTCATTGGCTGCCTCCCTAGCTTCCCCACAGACTCTCGAGTTCCATCATTAGAGACTGTGATTTATCTAGGTCAGGCCCTGGCTCCCCCTAGGAATTTTACATAGTTTCTTGCATGTAATAGACTGTTCAGTAAATATTTGTCAACCCAAGTCTCCATTAAAATGAAAATACCCCGAGGAGGGATAAACCATTTTCATTTGCTAACGCTTCTCTGTGAATTAGCTGATCGCACTAACTAGTGCCCCAGCAAGGTTTCTGAGGGCCGGTAGTTCCAACAGGAAGCATCTGGCTGGGTAAAGGAGACAGGCCGGGTTTGGGCAAGTGTCTGGGGGAGTGGCTGGAGCAGCAGTGAGGACAGACAGCTGTGCCAAAGGTCAACGTCAGGACACTGGAGTGCTTGCTGCCAATGAAGGCGATGGCCGCTCCCGGTGGAAACCCTCAAGTGACTTCTGTAGTCTCAGGGGAGAGACTGAGTCCTTGTCAAGGTACAAAATTGCTTTCTGATCTGCACAGCTCTCCAGCCCCAGGACCCTGGACGCCTCAGCCTGACTGGCTCTGGGAACCTAACAGCGAAGCCACAAGCCCTCCCTTTGCTCTTTGGAGTCCTCACCCGGGGATCCCAGCCCAACTCTCTGCCCATTCAAGCGGATGAGGCATTCGGCTTGAATGGACCTACCAGGGAGCCTGTGGTGAAGGGAAGCCGTGACTGGTGACATTCGATCATCGCCAGGGGTGACTGGTGACATTCGATCCCTGCCAGGGTGAGACACACAGAGAGGTCGGCTGGAGTTGAGAGCTGTCACCTGACACAGTCCTTCTCCTGCCCGGCACCCATCCACACACGTGTGGACCTTGCCTAATGAAAGCAAGAACAAATGCTTGTTGTAACCTGTGTTCTAATTTTGTCCCGTTGTCGGAACAGACCCTGAGCAAAAGCAGCTTGTAGGAGTAAAGGGTTCATTTGGCTTATGCTTTCCAGTCATTGAGGGAAGTAGAGACAGGAGCTCAGGGGAGGGACCTGAAGGCAGGACTCAAAGGGGGAAAGATGCTGGCTGATTTGCTCATTTCTAAGCTCACGTAGTCTAACTGGCTTTTTTTTTTTTTTTGGTTTTTCAAAACAGGGTTTCCCTGTGGCTTTGGAGGCTGTCCTGGAACTCGCTTGGTAGTCCAGGCTGGTCTCGAACTCCTAACTGGCTTTTTATTATTACTATTACTATTAATTTTATTTAACTTTTTGGAACCGGATCTCATTATGTAGCCCTTGGCTGGCCTGGAACTCACTATGTAGACCAGCTTGCCTCGAACTCATAGAGATCCATCTGCCTTTGCCTCCACATTGCTGGGACAAAAGGCCTGTTCCATCGTGCTTGGCTAGCTGACTTCCTTATACAGCCTAGGACCACCTGCATAGAGAATGGCGCTGCCCACGGTGGTCTGACCCTCCAGCATTAGCTAAGAAACAAGACAATCCCCTACAGACATAATTCTGGAAATTATGAGAGTCCCTTCTCAGATGACTCTAGACCGTGTTGACAGTTAAAGGTAACTGGGCATGCTGGTTAGTTTCATGTCAAGTTGACTCAAGCTAAAGTCATCTGGGAGGAGGGAGCCTCAGTTGATTGCCTTCATACGGTCAGGCTGTAGGCCAGCCTGTGGGGCATTTTCTTAATTAGTGATTGATGCGGGAGGACCCAGACCACTGTGGGTGGTGCCATCCCTGGACTTGTGGTTTTGGGTTGAGCAAGCCATGCAGAACAATCCAGTAAGGCAAACAAACCCTTTCCTCCCCAGGTTTGGTCTGGTCATGGTGTTTGATACAGCAATAGCAACCCCAACTAAGACACTAGGGTAAGGGACACTTAATGTCTCCTCAGAAAGGAGAGATACAAAAATCCCAGCGAGCATTCTGTTTAGAGCATTCTGTTTATCTTCGAGTGACAGCCATGGCACTCATGTCTGCGTGTTGAGTACCTCTCAAGTTTATCTGTAGCCCTATAGGAACACACTGTAGCTTGGAGACCAGTGCCAATAATCTTGGTATAAAATAAAAAATGAAGAAGAGCCAGAAATTAGTTAATATATGCAAATACCAACATGTATACATATCTAGCAAAACAGGAAGAATGGAGTCATGGTTGATTGTGTGTGTGTGTGTGTCTGTGCACATTCATGCGTGTGAATGTGGGCGTGCCCGTGCCAGGATGTGCTGGGGAGATAAGAGGACAATCTTGGGTGCTGGAACTTGTCATGATTTAGACAGGATTTCTGTGCTGTTTGTCTGCTGGGTGTGCCAAGCTAGCCGAGGTTTGGGGTGTTCCCACCTCCCACTTCTCTGTGGGAGTTTCTGGGATTACATATGCTGTGTGCTGGCTTTTACGTGGTTATGGGCATTTGAGCTCAGGTCTCGACCCTTGCATGGCAAACACTTTACTCACTGAACCATCTCTCCAGCCCATGTTCTTTTATTTTTACATTTTTTTATATCGTGAGCATTTTGTCTGTATGTGCATTTGTGCATCACATGAATGCCTGGTGTCTGCAAAGGCCGGAAGAGGGCATCAGATCCCTTAGAGCTAGAGTTGTGAAGGGTTGTGAGCCACCATCTGGGTGCTGGGAATCGAACCCAGGTACTCTGGAAGAGCAGCCAGCGATCTTGACCACTGAGCCATCTCCAGCCCCCTCCCCTCCCGTGCTCTTGTTTCTGGGGGACTGTAACTGATACCTTAGCGTCTGCATCTCTCTTTGCACATCTCTGGTGAACCACTTGGAAGTGGACTTGTTCACGGCTCATCAGAAAAGGTCCTTGAACTCTTTGACCCCACATGTAGCAGTGACCTCGCTTCCTTTGCTACCCAATCTAAAACATCCAGGCTCAGTCTCAACTTCCAATTTGGAGCAACCATCATTGGGCCTCTGATAGAACTATTGTTCCCTAAAACAATGGTTCCTTGCTTGTATCTTTTTTTTTAACTACATATTTATTTTATTTTATGTTCATGAATGTTTTTGCCTGCGTGTATGTGTGTGCACCATGTGTGTGCCTGGTGTCCACAGAGGCCAGGGAGGGCTTTAGACCCTTTGGGACGGGAGTTACGAACAGCTATGAGCTGCTATGTGGGTGCTGGGGGTCTCTTTTCCAGTGTCCTTGTGGAACACATCCCCAGTAGCCTCTTTAGAGGGGCGCACAGCAGGTTACGTTGATTTTTGATGTTTGGGTGCCTAGGAATTTATTTTTTTTCTTCGGGGATCGTTTGCCGGGCATATCTCCAACAGCATGTCTTCCTGGCATGTCTGTCATCTTCTGGGACCCAGGTCTCCCATTGGGAAGCAGCGTTTTTTTTTTTTTTTCCTTCTTTGTAGGACATTTCTCTCTTTCTCTGGAGGACCTGCAGATTCATGTTTTCCAAGCATGAATTCCGTTTGTGCTTGTTCTTAAGTAATGTTACTTACATGTTCCCCTTTGATAGCTGAGCGTTTCGTTTCACTTTAAATTAAAAAGCACTAGCTTTTTAAAAACGATATATATTTAAAACATTTTTATGTTTCTATGTGTGTGCCTGCATGAGTTTGTGGACCACATGTGTAGGAACTATTGGAGAGGAGGAGAGGGCACCAGATCCCCTGGAATTGGCGTTAACAGATGGTTTTCAGCTGCAATGTGGGTGCTGGGAGCTGAACCAGGGTCATCTGCAGGAGCCCCTGTTGCGGGCAGCCCTGCACGGACACCCCTTGGGGGAGGGGACGTGGAGTCAAGGACACAGACTCTGGGAGTCAGGTGAGTAACAGAGCCTGCTGCAGACTTGCTTATTGTGGAAATCCAGGCTTGCCTTTAAATCCCCTCAGCATTCCATTGGTCCTCTAGGCCTCCAGAGGTGTGTTGTCCTTCCCTCATTGGCTCTGCAGAGCATGCGCCTCCACACCTCCACGTCAGCAGTCTCTAGCTACTGAGGCAGATTCCAGGGTGGACCAAAAGGAAAGTTACTATGGCGCATGCTCAACTGAGCTTGACTGGCTGTGGACATCTTTCTCCTACAAGCAGCCAGTGCTGTTAAGTGCTGAGTGGTCCCTCCCTCCCTCCCTCCCTCCCTCCCTCCCTCCCTCCCTCCCTCCCTCCCTCCCTCCCTCCCTCCCTCCCTCCCTCCCTCCCTCCCTCCCTCCCTCCCTCCCTCCCTTCTTTCTTTCTTAAGACAAAGTTTCACTATGTAGCTGAAGCCCTGGCTACATAGATCATACTGGCTAAGAACTCACATGGATCCACCTGCTTCTGCCTCTCAAGTGCTGGGCTTAAAGGGGTGAACCACCATGTCAAGTTTCCCATACTGACTTTTTTTTTATTCAATGGTTTATTCCCCTGTTTTGTGTCTCTTTCTAAAATGCCTCTTAGCCCAATGATGGATCTCCGGGACTAGTCTGCTAAGTTTCTCTTCTTTATATTGTCCATGATTTTGTGCTTTACATTCCAGAGATTAACTTGCTCTTATAATCTTCACTATACCTCATACATCTTATCTGTGGCCCGTGTATTTCAGCATTTATATGATAAAATTTAAATTCTATTTTTTTTGTTGTTCTTTGGTTATTCCTTTTACATTGAGGTCTGTTCTTTTTTTCATGGGTGCAATAGTTTTCCACATTTCTTTGGTGATAAGATTGGATTGGATTTCCATTCACAGCCTCCCTCCCTCCCTCCCTCCCTCCCTCCCTCCCTCCCTCCCTCCCTCCTTCCTCGGTTTGTATCTAGGGCCTTATAGATGCTAATCACTGAACAAGACCCCCAGTCCCATTTTCTGTCTTTTTCTCTTTCTCCTTCTGTCTTCATGTGTATAGCGCTGCATTGATAGGTATGGTGGGGAATGTAGCGGCCTTCCATTTTAATGTGTGTGTTGTATGAACGTGTGTGTGTGTGCATGTTTGCATGTGCATGTTTGCGTATGTGCACATGGGGGCCGGAAGTCGACGCTGGGAATTATCTTCAATCAGTTTTACTGAAGCAGAGGTCTGTCAATCAAACCCAGAGCCGGCTTGCTCTGGGGATGCCCAGGTTGGAATTACAGGCAGCCACTTTGCTCACCCAGCATTTTACTTGGGTCCGGGGCTCCAAACCCAAGCCCCTATGCTTGTGTGGTAACTGCTTTAACCACTGAACCACCTTCACAGTCCCCTGTTTCTTTCTTAGTGTTGGAATTTGTCTAATGAGTCTCACTTTTCAATTTCTGTTGTGCCAGGCGTGGTGGCTCATACTTTTAATCCCAGTACTAGGGAGACAGAGGCAGGCAGATCTCTGTGAGTTCGAGGTCAGCCTGGTCTAAAGAGCAAGTTCCAGACCATCCAGCGCCACACAGTTAAACTCTGTCTCAAAAAACCAAAATAAAACAATAGCAACAACAACGCCCGGCTTCCTCTGTCACTTTTAACTAAAGATTTACTTATTTTTATTTTGTGCATATGTGTGTTTGCCTTCATGTATGTATGTGCACCACATGTGTGTAGTGCCAGCAGAGGCCAGAAGAGGGCGCTGGATATTCTGGAGCTGGAGTTACAGGCAGTTGTGAGCTGCCCAACATGGGAGCTGGGAACTGAAGCCAGTCCTCTGCAAGGGAGTGCTCCTAACTGCCAAGCCATCTCTCCAGCAGCCCCGACCCCCACCTAGTCTGAGACAAAGTCTCACTATGCTGCCCAGGCTGTCCTTGAACCCAGTTCCTCCTCTGCTTCCAGAGTGCTGGGATTGTAGCACATGCCACCACCGCCCTTGCGAGCCCCCTGCAAGCCCCTCCCCTTCATTAGCACTCACCCGATTCTCTCACCTTCCAGACGCGTGTCTGTTTGCTCATCCACTAGCCGCTGTCATTTATTTGTCAGGCCATTAGCTTGTTATCCCAGTTTCTCCTGACTGAAATGTTCACCGTGTGGTGGGCACTGTTTTAGATACAGAGAGGAAAAGAAGAAATACCGGAGTGGGGCTGGGGATGGAGCTTGGCCACAAATTAAATCCCTACCAATGTATAAACCAAACATGGTGGTGCCTGCCTGCAAGAGGAGACTCGGGAGTTCAAAGTCACCTCGGTTATATATATGGTGAGCCTGATTTACCTCAGCCACTTCCTCTCCATACCAGAAACGAGATTCTATGCTGACGAAAGTGAGTTTTTGGGGGGTGGGTGGGAAGTACACTATAAGTAAAATTGAAAACCACCAATGGTGATATGTTCTCTGCTGAGGTATCAATTAGTGGTTGGCCTGAACCTCCATTTTTTTTTTTTTTACCTAGAGCATTCAGAGAAGGCTTCCTGGAGGAGGCGGCTTTCGTAAGGCAGGCAGAGCTGAGCATATGAAGATGGGGACTGACGGAGTCATGGAAGAGGTGTGAGGAGGGAGTGTGGTGGCCCAGGTAGAGGAAACGGTTGATCTAAAGGCCGGAGTAAACTGGGCCACTTTCAGAATCAGGAGAAAATGGCGTCCGGGCAGTAGCACGGATGTTTGGGGCGTGTGAGGTCAGGGCGAGGAGTTGGCATGTTACCCTGAGTGTTAAAGAAGGCCGTTTAATCAGGGAGTAACTTCCTCTGATTTATAGATTTCACACCCTCAGTCGGCTGCTGAAGAGAGAGCGGGCGCACGGGCAATTGAGAAGCCAGGAGCCAGCAGTTAGGGGCGACTGGGGAAGAGCGGGCAGCTCGGGTGTGGCGGAGACGGATGGAGAGAAGCGGCTGAATTTGCCTTTGATTGATGGCAGCGTCTGCCCGCCTGCTGATGGATGCAGGAGACGGCGAGAGGAATCTCCGCTAACTCCTCGACGTTTTGGCTGCTGTGCGAGGCGGCTAGGCTACCCGGTGTGGTTCCAATAGCACCCGAAAGTCGCTGTTGCAGGTGTCTGGTTGCGAGAAGGAGCCATTTACTGAGTTCTGGAAAAGTTAGGCTGGGGGAGACTAACCTCTCCCTACCGTGTTTGCCAGCCTGCAAGGAGGGGCTGCGTTGGAGTCCGGAGGTCCGGGGGGGGGGGAGGTCAGAGTGGAGCAAGGCTTGAGAGCCACTGCTGGGCTCTACATGACGTGTGAAGCCACAGAGGTGGGCGAGGCCCTTGGGCTGGGAGCGTGAGAGAAGAGATCGGGACGAGAAACAGAGCTGCTGGCAGGCCAAGATTGCTGGGTCCTGGAGAACCCATGAAGGAGACAGGGCGATACAGGCCAGTAAAGTTAGAGGCAACTCAGCAGGCAGGATAAGGACTCAGAGAAGGAATTTCAAGAGGACCAAGGGTGGGCAGAGAGCTGCTTCAGTGGTTAAAAGCACCGCCTGCTCTTCAGAGGGCCAGCACTGAATTGTGGCTAGCAGCAACTCCAGTTCCGGGTATTCTACTGCCCTCCTCTGGCCTCTGCGGGTACTGCATGCACATGGTGCATATACACACATGCAGGCAACACTTATACACATAAGCTAAAATAATAATAACAAAAAGAAGACAAAGGGGGGGGGCAGTGCTTTAAATGACGTTGGGAGATAACCAAGGTAAGAACAGAAAGTTACTCTTGAGAGCAGTGGTTTTCAACAATCCTAATGCTGCAACAATTCCTCACGTGGTGATCACCAGCCATAAAACTATTTTCGGTTGTGAGCCTAGCCTTTAACGGCTGAGTCATCTCTCCAGCCCAGCCATAAAACTATTTTCGTTGCTACTTTATAACTGTAATTTTGCCACCGTTAGGAATCACAATGTAAATACTTGCATTTTTCCATTGGTCTTAGGAGACCTGGGAGAAAGGTCCATTGGAGTCCCCAAAGGTGGTGACCCACAGGTTGAGAACCACTTCCGTAGAGTCAGGGGAGTGGTGAAGAGGGCGCCGTGAGCTGTGGCTGACTCACCTGGATCAGGAAGCAGGGAGCCCAGGGCAGGAGGCAGCCATGGTGACCACACAGCTGCAGAGGACAGTTTACCTGGAGGACTGAGTGTTGGCATATACGTGGTGTGACCCTAGTGTGTTCCAGGCTCTTCACACTGGACACTCAGTTCCTGTGGTGTTCCCTGTTTGTTAACTGTCTACCCTCACCCCCTATCTCAAACAGAACCAGGAATTACCAGGTCCAGGCTTGTCTGAACGGAGCTGAGTCATGCATGCATGGAGGGTGCCTTAGCCCCAGCTGGGTGGTCTCTTTGTGTCACCTGACTCCCTGGCCCAGATGCCTCCTGGGAGTTTGGAGTTGGCCGGGGGAGGCTATAAATATCTTCCTCTTTCAGGAAGCTAGGTTTTCCTTATTCTTTCTCCCCCCCACTCTGCTTCCCTTCATTCTCTGTCCCTCCCTCCCTCCTCCCGGTTCCCTTCCCTCTCCTTTCCTCTCTCTGGGGGACGCTCAGAAGCTGCTGGTGGAACCTAGGGCTTCCTAACACATGTTAGAGAAGCACCCAACCCCTGAGCTCTGTCCTCTGCCCAAGGAGCGAACCCTTCCCACACAGGCCCTTAGTCCCCGAGTCTGGCTTCCTCCAGCCTGGCTGGGAAGTAGAGACGCTGGTTTGGAGCCACACAGCAGAAGGGAAACGAGTCCCATTCTCTCTAGTCCCACATGCATCTACCCGTCTCCTGATATTCTCCAACAATAAATTTCTCTCTTCCTTTCAACCCAGTTTGTGTTTCATCACCCGTGTCCAGGAGTCCCAATTAACCCCGTATTACTAACCCACCTTTCCATCAGAATGGAGCCGTTTGAGAGAGATGATGTCACCTGCCCACCTTTCAACGGCCGCTGGTGGGTTTTGGACGGAAGCCAGGTGTGCCGGCTACAACGTCCCAGGTCTCCCACACTACCCATCTCCGGAGTCCTCCTCCCAACACGCCGGGGACAGTGATTTCTTCCTCATCTGACCCCTGCCGCCGCTTGGATTCACATACATCTCCGAGCTCACGACAGCTCCAATTTCAAAAGTTGGCCTGTCACCTCTGTAAGTGTGCTTGAGTTTCCCAGACCTTTGTCCTGAATGGGCTCAGAAAATATGGTCCCCATTACCGCACCGGTGGCATTATGGCTCAAGTGTTCACTGTCTCGTTAGGGGAGAGTGAAGGCGGAAGGCTCTGGAACACAGGCACGGGAGGGGGGTGGTGAGTTGAGGGGCACAGGACCCAGCAAGTGGGAAATGGAACTTCAGGGGATGGAGAGGCAGCGAGGGGTGGAGGGAGTACAGGCTAGGAGAGAGCTAGAAGTCAAGAAGAAAGGATTCTGGACACGCAGGGCCTCAAGGCAAGGGAATCAGCACCCATCTTTCATTGCGTCAGATGGATTCTCCCGCATGGCCCCTTCCTGGCTTCTCACCATCCTCAGGTTCCAAGTTCCTCCCTTGGTTGGTCCCTGCCTCGTGGGCTTCTCTCCTACCCTCAAGACTCAGGTTTTGCAGCCCTGGGCTTCACTGGGCCTTGCTCTCCCTGTACCTCTTGATAGTGCCAGAGCCTTTCCTGCCTTCTGCCCATCAGCGCCCACAGCGTGGTTGGCCCCGCCCTCACTGCTCAGGTGGCTCCGCCTTAGCCTGGGTTCTCCCCAGGGTGGGTCCTGAGAGGAATGGTTGTTTTATTCAGCAGCGTGGTACTCAGAAGTGGGAATAAAGAAGGAGGAAGCAGGGAAGGAGGGAAAGCAGGCTACCACATGTGAGCCGACACACCCAGTCCCTACTGTGGGCTTTTTAGAAGATTTCTTGGCTGGGGCTTATGGGGTATAAATGCAGTCCTCGCCCCTGGGAGCTGAGATATGAACTTTATTATGAGCCAGAGGTCAGTCAGGGGTGACATAATGAGTGAGACTTTATCTAGAAAAAATCAAAATAAAAGAAAAAAGATTGTCTGGCTGCTATGTAAGGGACAGGCTTCAAGAGGAAGGAATGGGAAAACCAGTATGGTGGTTTGATTATCAATCTATCTACCTACATCTTTCTTTCTTTCTTTCTCTCTCTCTCTCTCTCTCTCTCTCTCTCTCTCTCTCTCTCTCTCTCTCTCTCTCTCTCTCTCTCTACCTATCATCTGTCTATCCACCCATCTTTTATCTATCTATCTATCTATCTATCTATCTATCTATCTATCTATCTACCTATCTACCTATATACCTATCTATCTATTTGTCTATCTGAGACAGGGTTTCCCTGTATAACCCTGGCTGTCCTGGAACTAGCTCTGTAGACCAGGATGACCCCAAACTCAGAGATCTGCCTGCTTCAGCCTCCGAGTTCTGGGATTAAAGGCATTTGCTGTCATAATCCCCATAAGATCATAGGGAGTGGTGCTATTAGGAGGTGCGGCTTTGTTGGAGTAGTTATGGCCTTTTGGAGGTCATTGTGGGAGTGACCTTTGAGGTCTCATTTATACCCGAGCAACACCCAGTGCTGCAGTTGACTTCCTGTTGCCTGCAAGATGTAGGACTCTCAGCTACTTCTTCAGCACCATGTCTGCCTGCAAGGCACAATGCTCCCTGCCATAGTGTCATAGACTTATCCTTCTGACACTGCCAGCCCCAACAAACTCTTTCTTCTGTAAGTTGCCATGGTCGTGTTGTCTTATCACAGCAGTAGCAAAGTAGCTGAGACCACCAGCTAGGGGTTCAGGGGACAGGTGATGGTAGGCAGGTTCCTCAGAGGCTAAAGGAGGTCATAAATTCAGGATGATTTGGGAGTAGAGTTAAACCCGATTGTGGGTTAGATACAGAGACTGAAGAAGATGTGAGCTTGGATAAACGGTGTGGACACGGGGTTGCACAGGGGTGACCTCCATGGACTGAGAGACCTGTCAAGTTGGCTGTCAATCCACAAATCCTGTTGTAGAGTAGGAGTCTAATCCATGTCTATTAAAGAAATGAATGGAAACAGCAGGAGAGAGAGAGAGACAGAGAGAGAAAGGGAGGCAGACAGAGACACAGAGAGACAGACAGAGAGACAGACACCAATGAACTGGGACTGTCAGAGGGCACCGGGGACCCAGGGTGCCTTTGCCCTTTAGTGATCTTTGCCCTCTGAGCTTGTCTATTTTGAAGTGGAGAACGCATGCGCAACCCTTGTTACTACATCCCTGGGACTGGTGCAGCATGGCCCTGAAAGACGGTTGCTCCTGCTCACATCTAGGAGCCGACAGGCGGTTGGCTATGTGCCCTTCCCATTGCTGGGGTGCCTTTGGGGGACAGCCCTTTCAACCTGGGTCTCTGAGGAGCGAGGATGAGCAGGCACCTGCCATTCTGAGTGGCCGGTGCATTGGGACCTGCCTGAGAGAAGCTTGTGTGTGACTGGACACAGGGGATGCTTGTGGCCTGGCTGGTGTATCTGAGCTAACACACAGGGAACACTGCATGCTTGGGGGTTTCACGGACCCCCTTAATCCTACTGGCTGCTGTCCCATCCTCTTATTGAGCCCTCTCCCTTCCGCCCTCAGCTACAGTCATCTCTTCCTTCCCTCTCTGGATATGAGGTTCCCCCGGCCTGGATGGAGAGTTATAGGTCCACCCTAGGGTCTGTGTAGGCCCTGTAAGTCCTGCAGAGTCCCTGGTTCTCGCTCTTAGTCTTTCTCTCTCGGTCTCTGTGTGAGTCCCTCCAGCCCTAAGCAATGTAGCTGGTCTCTGCCTCTTCTTCCACACTGTGTCCTCTGGTGGCCTTTCGGAGACTATGCTCCTAGCCTTGACGTTGCACTTGGCTGTGTGACTTGCAATTGCACTTTGGCAAACACAGGACCACACAGCTTGGCTCTCTCTCCTGAGCTCCTGGGGTCTCATTTTAGAGGAGCATTCAAGTGGAATCTAGACTAAAGAGGATGTACCGATGCACAGGGCAGCCTTGAACCCAGATGGGACCAAAATCTGACAACTTTTACCCAGAAGTAATGCCCCCGAGCCCATGAGCAAGAAGAAAGAAAATCCTGTTATCTTAAGCCGCCAAGTTTTGGGGTGGTTTGTTACACAGCAGCATTGCTACTATAGCTAACAAATACACCAACACTGAAGGCAT